CCAATGGAACCAAATAAAAAGGTAAGCGTTTTGCTGCTTTCATGAAACTAACACTAATTTAACGATGTGATGAATGTAACAAAACCAGCCAGTTGTACTCTTCAACTAGCTGTGCGGGAGGACAGTAATTAAAACAAGTGTTGTGATAGTCCATCTCTATCAGTTAAGTTAAACAAGTTGAACACCACATCACTTGAATCGTTTCCTTCAGTAATGACTGAAAGTACAGATCAAGGGGAGATGGAACTGCCAACCACATCGCTGTATTTCAAAAATTATCAACTTCATTGGATAAATCCAAATTCATTATTTTGCAGAAATCTCTAATTTTTCCGTCGGAAATTCACGCTTCATTTGTTAACCTATGTTGATTTCAGTTGAAATTCGAATTGAGCTTCAAACTTGCTCGTGGTAAAACAGAAGGACTGGGCAAGCCACTTGAATTCCGTGCATTTGTGAATAGTACAAGTGAAGAGAACAACCTTGACGATAATGACTGGCAGGCGGTTGTTCGCGTGATTAAACGAGCTGAACTCGATATGACCGCTGTTTCGGATCCTCCGATTGTTAGGTAATTTGATTTTTCCAACATATCTAGCATTTTTAAAACCAGATTTTCCATCATTCAGGATTAAATATACTACGTTTAGCTTAGATAAGTTAACAAAATTTTTCACATTTTCTTGTGCACGACAGTCGAGAGGTGCATTTCAGTGCGATACACTAATATGGAATGCTCAGCTTGAAATGCAACAAATTCGTTTGAAGTATTCACCGTAGATGTTAAATGAATGCCTACAAAATAACACCAACAGGCTTAGTTGCTATTCACAGCAACTGTACACATAACTTTATGCTTTCTGCAAAAAATTTTTGCAATCTGGATGAAAATTCTAGAGTCGGAAAGCAGTTTATCATATTTTCTCACAAATCAAAATTTGAAGGTTTGGCGGTGATTTGAAAGGTGAAACCGGGATGGAATTTGATGAAGATATTGGTCCGTTAGTTGTACATAAATACACGATCACAAATCAGGGACCGTGGTCTGTTAATAACGTAACGGTTCAGGTGAACGAAATTTTTACATTTAGATTTGATGGCCGTTTTTTTCAATTTGACTCATTTTGGCCAAGGTCACAGAATTCGAGGAAAGTGTGCAATTCAGGAATAATTATTTGTTGGCGTGAGCAATTGAAATATATCATCGTGGCATTATTTTCTAGGTGGATTGGCCATACCAAGTAGCCAGTGTCTTCTCAAAGGGCAAATGGGCGTTATATCTGATGGAAATGCCAACGATACAAACGACGAACACGGATAACGAGAACATTGTCAAGCAATGTTCGATGGCATTACCCACTGAGTGGGTTAATCCACTGCAGTTGAAATTGTATTTGGATTCAGGAACGTCCTTTGATTCAGAAGCTGATT